CCATGCAGTGCAATGAAAGAGTCAGGAGTCCTGTAGGAAGTACAGTACTATGATTATGTAATTAATGGTTGTGTCACAATACTTAAGCATAAGAAAGAGGTTGTTCAGACAACCATAAATCTGAAACGTGAATTTCAGTGTTTGGCTCTACAGCCTAAGTAACATTATTATAATAGTTTGTGTCTATTACTTCCTATATTTTCTAAAAAAAGATGTAAAAATAAATGTAACAATTTTCCCCTGTAATCATACAACAGCAGCAGCGTTTGAGCTTTCAATATCAAACATAACAGCACATGCAGAGACTACATGAGCTACTGAGTTAACAAGGGCAGCTATCTGCAGGAGAATGAACAAGAACCATCTTACTAGAATGAATAATCAGTTGTTGGCTTCAAATGCTGGGCTGGGGAAAAGGTCAAGGTTAGGGCTGCACCAATAGAGATTTTTGGGGCCAATATTGAGGGCCGATTTTTAACAAGCCATATCAGCCAATACCGATCCAATTCCAATATGCAGCCCCACAGCATGGAGAGCAGCCAGGTCCGGCTGGGAAGTCTGCTGTGGAGGAAGAGGTGGGGAGAGGGTAGGGGTATGGTGGTGCAGATTGAGGCCCCCGCGGTGAGAGAAGGAGTGGGGCTGGGGTAGGGGCAGGCGCTGCCCAGCCAGGGTGGGACATAGGACAGAGCTGCAGCTCGTCCAGAGGACATCGGGGGGCGGACAGCTCCCACCGCTGCACGCAACCTGGGAGGGCATGTGTCCCTGCAGGCTGGGGCCAGGGCAGTACAGGGCTCTTCTCAGCTCAGGGGCTGGGCCAGGCTCACGGGAGCCGCACCCCCTCTCCGCACCCCCGGATGAGCCCTGGCTGCCCTGCCCTGGCCGGCCAGCAACTGCCCCTGCCCCAGCCCCACTCTCACTCCCACTGCAGGGGCCTTGTTTGCCACTACCCCCCCACCCCCCAGGGCAGTACAGGGCTCTTCTCAGTGCAGGGGCTGGGCCAGGCTCACGGGAGCCACCTCCCCTCTCTGCGCCCCCAGATGAGCCATGGATGCCCTGCCCTGACTGGGCAGCAACTGCCCCTACCCCAGCCCCAACCTCAGCCACACTCCCACTCTCACTGCGGGGGCCTCGATCTGCTCCACCCCCCACGCCCCTTCCCCCACAACAGACTTACCAGCTGAACCTGGCTGCTCTCCATGCTGCCAGACTGTGCTCCTGGTTGCCTGTGTGCTGCGCTGTGACTGTGCACATGCATGGGGCATTTATCAGTCACATTATCGGCCACATCAGACAAAAATGCCAATTACTGATCCTCTCAATCTTCCTCATATCGGTGCCAATCCAATATGGAACCGATATATCGGTGCACCTCTAGTCAAGGTAAGTTCCAAAGACTTCACTTTCTTCCCCTAACCTCTACAACTAGTGGAGCTCCTGACCCTTCTGATTCCCTGGAGGGGAGGTAGGTAAATAAAGTACCAAGGCCATAAGCCTGGTTCAGGCACTGAGGAAAGGGAAGTAAGGTGAAACAATCTACACCTGATACCACTCAGTTCAGTGTTGCTTTGCCTTCATACCTGTATGAACCTAATTTTGGAATAGTCAAATTATCAATGTCTGCCAAAAAAATTCTAAGGAACATAAGGATACAATGGCACTTTTAACACTTTAATTTAGACAAATGTAAATGAGTTTATCATAAGAAAAATAAAAAAGACTTCTAGCCTGAGAGAATTGCCCAAATTAAATGTCAAAACTTGTTACAAACAATGAAGGTGCTAAACTGTCTCTAAAAAAGTGGTCATAGGACTCCTCCATGACCGTGTTATGCAACTGAAGTAAAGGGATCATTACAAGCCTTTCCTATAATTTTTAATACACTGTACATGAATGCGTGTGACTCTGTTACTGATGAGCACTGATCATTGTGATTATTTCACTGTTGTCAGCTGTAAAAGGAGATAAATCAGTGTAGACTGAGTTTCTGAGGATACTTGAGAATTTGTACCTACAGTATTCAAGTTCAGTGGTCACATCTGTTATTAAAAACATACTTAATTGTATTTTTTTCAGTAGTATATGGCAGGCTGATCATACACACACAGTACACCTATCCAAAATACAGCACTGATTTTATTTCAGCCTTTTGTTAACTGCCAGACAGTCCAACAGTTTCTGAAAAACAGAAAACTGCAAGAGAATGACTGTCTTCATCTTCAGACTCAGAATTTTAAATTCTAGTGGATTAATATGTAATTACAATTACACTGCCATTAAAATTGATTTATGCTTATACTCTAGGACTAGAATCAACAAAAATTCAGTACCATTATCACACTTCAAATAAAGTTTGTGCAGAAGCACAAATACTTTTTGAAAATCTTGTTTGGACTTTAAATGGGCCTCCATACTTTAAACACAGGGGTTCTTTTGTTAATTTATTTTAACTTCTTAAGAACAGAAAATTAAAAATAAAAATACAGTTTCTAAACAGGCCCCCTGGCTTTCCACAATTCTATAGCTGTGGAATGGGTGGTGGAATTAATTCTCAGGAAACATAAGCAATCATTCTTTATTCTGAAAATTATATTTCTAGATGTTGTGATTATGAAAAGAGTTTTGTAAATACTGTAAAACACTTCAGTCTTGGCTTCCTGAGTTTGCAGAACGTCTAAAACAAGAAATTATAGAAGGGCAATTTCCTCCCTGAAAACAACTCTGAAACCTAATGATGGTAATTAAAGTATATATACTTGTACTTAACCATTTCACTGTAGATGGTTTTAGTGAAAGTATCTGGATAATATACCTTACCAGCTGACAAACCCCTTCAACTTCCCCTACTTCCCCCCAACAATTTCTACCTTGTAGCAAATTATTTAACTAGAAAATTCTGTAGCACGCTGAAAACTGACATTTTGGAGACAGTGGAAATGAAAATGAAGTTAATATGAGAAGGACAATGCAGGGAAAAGTTTACTGACTACAATGTTAAGTCGCATAATTATTTCAATAAAAATTCAATTTTTAAAATCTCTCTGAAGCTGGTTAGGTTACCAACATGCCTTAAGATACAGAGCTCTTTCAGAATTTAGGTCCAGCTTGCCATAGACTATATGGCTTTGTTTATAGACATCCTTATCAAGCAATTTTTTTTTCCACTGGGGAAATAATATATCACAGATGTTTTAAAAACATTTTCAGTGCAAGCAAGAGGTCTAGGGTTTTTTTTCCACGTGTTACTGTATATAATAATGAAATAAAACCTCCAAAAAACAAAAATGCATATTTTACTTAAGCTCAATCATGCCCTTATGGGACACTAATGCAGAAAAAGAGGATGTGCAACTGGCACTTAAAATACATAGCCAACACAAGACTGCCAGAAAGCACACAGCAAGGGAGCATGTTTTGGCTATCACAAGCAGTATCAGCACACACTCCTTATCCACTGCCAGCTGGCTACCAACTGCTATACATAGAATATTCACTAAGCTGCCTGAAGGACATGGCATACCTCCTAACCTCAAACCAAACTCCAATAATATGTTGCTTGAGTTAACACACAGGTCAGGCCTCATGCCTAGTTCCCTCTTGAAAAACCATATACTTCTTCCTGTTTAAGAAACAAGAGGTTCTCTGCTACCTTTTCACTACGCATCAGGACGCACAGAGAAACGATTGGGGTAAATCATGGTCCACCTCTACGCCCACTTCCCAGTCTGATGGGTCTTGAAATGCAAACAAACTGCCATAATTTACAGTACATGGGCATACTCTACACAAAGTGGACTCCACAGCAAATGACAGATAATCAGGGATTCTGGTTTTCTCTGTTTAAAAATCACAAATTCTCTGATAAAACCCACACATTCTCTGATTTAAAAAAAGCCAAATCCATGATTAAAATGAAACACCACTATATATATAGGTATCAATTGAAGACAATGTTTTATTGATATATTTACAATTTTTAAGCAGTTTGGAAGCCTACCAGCGCCTCATTCACTATAATAAAATAAATTCTAAGTACCTACAAATTTTGGTATTTGATTTGGGGGTTTTTTTTATAGAGGTGTAATGATCTATCGGTCCATATCAGATCAGCATCGATAAAAGGAAAATTGACAACATTTTTTTGGCCAGGTACGTAGAGGGTGCTTCACAAGGGTGGCACAAGGCCTGTAGAGGCAAGGAGCTTCACCACCTGACCTGCTCTGTCCTGCCACACCAGGAGGGATGGAGGGAGGGAGGAAAATCCATGCATTTCTCTGTTAAAATGAAAAATCTGCATTTTTCTAGGTTAAAAAGAAAAATCTGCGTTTTTCCGTTTTTCCCATGGGAAATGGAAAACCTGGATCCCTGCAGATAAGCTTGGCCAGGATGGTAATCCACAAATGTTCTACTGAGCAGACCATGAGGCAAAACCATTGACCTACGACAGAACAGCTGACTCCTCTGTATGCTAGACCTCGTTTGTGGGTGGGACAAGACTTTTTTCTCTTACCCATCATGTAGGGACCTCTACATTTGGCACAAGAGATGAAATATGTCATTAGGATGTAACAGGAAATAGGTGTTTTATTTCCTACATTTAGAAACATCTCATTTTCAGTGATACTGCCAATGGCTAAACATGGATTATTTTAACTTTACTTTTATCTGCACAAAAACACTCTACTGTCAATATACAGTGCAACTGTGTTTCCTGTTAGATTTTGAAAAGCAAATGTTTAAAAGGGCTGCAAACCAGCAGGGGATCATTTTTTGCTTTTAGGCAGCATACGTGATGTCATTTGTATTGGTGTTTTCCCTGCACTGTGCTCTCTATTCATTCACTTTTTACTGCATTCTCAAAGTGGACCCAGTCCTTGGCTTTCCATTTGTCTCTGGCTGGCAGCCTGCTGCCATGGACAGAATGGCTCTACAGGAGCAGGCAAGACCACTAATTAAACTTCTAATTTTTTTTCAGAAAATTTTTAAAATAAATCTTAGCTTACCTGTTCACTGGACCTTCAGATTCAGAAACTGGAAGCAAGTCACAGAAAGCTTGCTACTAGGACAGACTCCTTGTACTTAGGAGAATGTAACAGCCTGGAATTAAGATGTTAGAAATGAATAGTTAAAGAACAGAATTTCATTATAATGTGATAGCGCTTCTAATGGTCTCCACTGCATCTCGAGTACACATAAACATACAGTTCAGTGCTACTCCCAGGTTCCAGGAACAGAATCTAACCAGTTTGTTCTAAGTAGGTCACTGAAGAGACTACTCAAATGTATGGCAGGCTCCTCTTCTTCCTCATCCCAGAAGAATGCCCTCTACAAGTGCCACATACAACCATGCCTGCCCAGCTCTTGAGAGAGCAGGACAGGGTGACAGCATCCTTGTAAGTGTCCTGCGTATGGCAGTATCCTGGTAAGCCACCTTCAGGAAAGTTAACTGTGATCAAGCTAACATTAATCACTGCTGGGCCCACCATAACTACTTGAAAAGGCCTCTAAAAAGGAGTCTCAAATTACTTGCCAAGAGAATTGAGAAATTGCCAGAATTTCATCTGATTCACTGCTGTTTTACTGTCTTGTGAAACAGACAGGTCATGTATGGTAAAAAAAAATCCCCTCATTGTAGCAGGGTTAGAATGTTGCTGTAGCCATATGATCCAGGAAATGTCCAAAAAATTAAGATTTGGGGGTTATCCTTTACTGAACCAATTTTTTAATTGGGAGAGCTGTCGAACTTGCTTTTAGGCATCAAGTGCCCTTCCTCAGGTTCTGAAAGACATCACTCTTTTAAGTCTCCTTAATCAACACTCTCTCCTAAACCACAGCTATTTCAAATTCAGACTGGAAACTGAATTATTTTTCCAGCGGTTGAAAGGAAGTTATCATTTACGCTGGCAATCCACCCTGGCTAAGCTTTGGATTCAGGAATGTGGTAGGAAACTATGGCCTTGTACAGATGTTCAGTCTCTCCAGAAGAGCCAACTTTAGCAAGCTGAGAAGGCTAGTTAGTGAGGGGATGCAACTCAAGAATATAGAGCAAATGGGGGTCCATGAGGGTTGGAAGTATCTCAAGGGAGTGATTCTTGGCGCTCAAAAGGAGTCTATCCCATTACGTAGGAAGGGATGTAAGGGGGCAAAAAAGACCCCTTGGCTGAACAGGGAACTCCAGGAGAGTCTGGGGGCAAAGAAAGAGATGTATAGGCAATGGAAGCAGGGGACAGCCACCAAGGAGGAATATATCTCCCTGGCATGCTATTGCAGGGAATTAGTTAGACAGGCCAAGGCGGGGCTTGAGCTCAGGCTGGCTTCAACAATCAAGGACAATAAAAAGTCCTTCTTCAGGTATACAGCAGGCAAAAGGAAAGCTCAGAGCAACATAAGGCCCCTGCAGGACAAATCAGGACAGTTGGTGGTTGATGCGGGGAAAAAAGTAGAGCTCTTCAATGAGTTCTTCGCTTCAGTATTTCTAAGTACCAACCAAGTCAATTCCCCCACCTCAGTCATTGACGGATATCCACATGGCACCAGTCCACCTACGGTTAGTTCTGAAATAGTTAAGGAGCTCCTGGAGGAGCTGGATGGGTACAAGTCAGCAGGCCCAGATGACCTCCATCCACGGCTGCTGAAAGAATTGGCCAGTGTCATAACTGAGCTGCTGGCACAGCTGTTTGAACACTCGTGGTGCTCTGGCCAGGTCCCTGAGGACTGGAGAAGGGCCAATGTGGTGCCCATTTTCAAGAAAGGGAGAAGGGAAGAGCCGGATAACTTCAGGCCAGTCAGTCTTACCTCTATCCCTGGGAAAATGCTAGAGAAAATAATCAAAGAACACATTTGTGAAGGCCCAGCAGGGGAAACAATGCTGAGGGGAAACCAGCACAGGTTTGTCTCAGGTAGATCCTGCCTGACAAAACTTGTAGCCTTCTATGACCAGGTAACACACTGCCTGGATGCGGGAGCTGAGGCTGATGTCATCTTCCTGGACTTTGAGAAGGCCTTCCACACAGTCTCACACCCTATCCTCATTGGGAAGCTAGCAGACTGTGGGGTGGACACCTACATGGTCAGGTGGGTGGCCAACTGGCTTAGGGACCGTACCCAGAGAGTGGTGGTGGATGGTTCCTTCTCGGTGGGGTCCCGCAGGGTGGGCAGTGGGGTCCCGCGGGGTTCGGTCCTCGGACCTGTATTATTTAATATCTTCATCAGCGATTTGGACGAGGACGTGGAGAACACCCTCTTCAGCTTCGCAGATGATACCAAGTTATGGGGCAAAGTTAGTACACCGAAGGGCAGGGAGCAGATTCAGGCCGACCTGGACAGGTTGAATCAATGGGCAGAGAGAAATAGGATGCAACTGAATAAAGATAAATGTAAGGTACCCCACCTGGGAAGGAGGAATCCCCAGCACACCGATAGGTTGGGGAGTGTCCTTCTCAGCAGCTCGGAATCATAATCGACTCCAAGATGAACATGAGTCAGCAGTGTAATGAGGACATCAACAAGGCCAATCGCACCTTGTCGTGCATTAGCAGGTGCATGACTAATAGATCAAAGTAGGTGATGCTCCCCCTCTGTGCAGTACTGGTCAGGCTGCAGTTGGACTACTGTGTCCAGTTTTGGGTGCCGCACTTCAAGAGGGATGCAGAGAATCTGGAGAGGGTCCAGAGGAGGGCCACTCGCATGATTAGTGGCCTTTGGGAAAGACCCTAAGGGAGAAGGTTGAGAGAGCTGACTCTCTTCAGCCTTCACAAGAGATGGCTGAGGGGAGATCTTGTGGCCACCTATAAATGTATTAGGGAAGGTCAATGGGGAATAGGTGATGCACTGTTTACTGGGGCGCCCCAGGGAGTGACTAAGAATAAAGGGTGTAAACTAGTTGAGAGTGGATTTAGGTTAGATATTAGGAAGAAATTTTTCACAGTAAGGGTGGCCAGGATCTGGAATGGGCTTCCAAGAGAGGTGGTGCTATCACCTAGCTTGGAGGTCTTCAAGAGGAGGCTAGATAGTCACCTGGCTGGGGTCACCTGCCCTCAGTCCTCTTTCCTGCCAGGGGCAGGGGGTCGGACACAATGATCCATTGTGGTCCCTTCCGACTCTACAATCTATGAATCTATGAATCTCAGGAGAAACAGTGAATGTACAGGTTTTCAGGCATTTTCTTCTAAAGTAAAAATGGCCACTCCAAGAGAAAAGTAACCTGGGAACAACCAGGGTTAAATCACTCCCTGGAGAGTTTCTACTGGGAAAGCAAATGTTTGTACATGCTGTGGCTTCCCTCAGAAGAGAACATGGTCTTCCAAGATCCATCCCTTTACCCTTCCCTCCCAGGGAGACAGTGTGTCACCCACTGGACTCTGCTACTCCAGAGTCCAGCCCCCCCTTCACAATCTTCACACTGTCCTGCAGGGAAACACAGGATGACCATTGCCAATCTGGGTCAGCCAACCAGGGTGCCCTATTCACTGCTGCCATCTGTTACCAGACAAACTAAGGGGATCTGCAGAGCATGCTGACATGTGTAACCCCTCCCCACCACACACACACCCCACACAGTGCCAGCACTGCAAGCTCTCCACTTTTCAGGGCATGAGTGCTCACATGCTGGTACCTCAGACTATCCCTTCCCTTCACTGCAGGGTGACGGGGAGCTAGCAGAGATTCTACCTTCCCCACTAGGAGAAGATATGAAGATAGACTGACTCTTGTGTGCACTAGATGGTCTCTAAGCACTACCATATAAAATGTAATAATAATGTTGGTATTTTCTTGTATATTATTCACTGTGACGAGACAAAGAAATAAATAAAGCCATGATCCCTTAATCTCTAACACACATAACATCCACCAGCATCAATATAAATTTTGCATAAGCAGATCTTAAGCTAAGTTGCAAAGAAATTTGTGCACATTAAACCATTTTTTCTTCCAAAGTATTTCAAAGAGAAATAGTTAAGATTGGCAGCCGGGAGGTAGCTGCTCTTATTTATGAAACTTTAAAGTTAAGCTTTTCATCTCAAACATATAATCATGCTTTTAAGGCCACCTGTAGTACTACAGAAAGCAGCATCAGGTGCACTCATTTCTCCTCCCAAAATCTGCAGGGTAGATCCCATACAAAACCAATGGAGGGGCAACACAGTGGGCTCAATGAAGGACCATAGTGCCATAGAAGTGGTATTACTGACTTCCCAAACACTGACCATACTAGAACAACATTTTTTAAATGATTGAAAATATTTTTTTAAATGACTGAAAGGAAGAAGAAATAGGTAGAATTTGAAGAAAATAAACATCTCAAGGGATGTGGATAACCTTGAGAGGGTTCAGAGAAGGGCTACTCATATGGTTGAGGGCCTGCAGGTAAGACCCTATGAAGACAGACTGAGGGATCTAAATCTCTTCAGCCTCCACAAGAGACAGCTAAGAGGCGATCTTCTGGCTGCCTACAAACTCATCGGGGGGGCCAGCAGGGAATAGGGGACACTCTGTTTACCAGGGCACCTCTCAGGGTTACCAGAAATAATGGCCACAAACTGAAGGAGAATAGATTTAGATTGGACATAAGGAAGAAATTATTTACAGTAAGGGTTGCCAAAATATGGAATGGGCTTCCAAGGGAGGTGGTGTTATCCCCTACCCTGGAGGTGTTCAAGAGGAGATTAGACAGGCATCTGGCTGGGGTTACTTAACCCCAGTGCTCTTTCCTGTCTGGAGCAGGAGGTTGGATTCAATGATCTACCAAGTCCCTTCCGACTCTAGAAAACTATGACTGTGTTTTTGGAATGCAATCGTACTACTTCCTGCATTTGATTCCAACAAAAATAAAAGATATATGAGCTGTAACTTCCTCTGACTATTCTCTAAACTTGGGGTGGAAAACTTGAAAAGCACTTTTTTTATGACCTGCTTCTAAGATTGTTGTTTGATTAATTAAATTCCATAGTCTCTAACATTGTAATAGCTACACATAGAGATATTATGGGTTGAATTATACCCTCCAGCATAAAGAAAAAGAATCCACCATGATTTCTAAGGTTTTGTATGTCCTTGGATGGGCTGAATTTTATTCTGATGCAGTGGGCAGTGACCTC